ATATATATATATATATATATATATATATATATAGTGTTGAACCTAGCAAATTTAGCTATCATTTCCATACATCAACTATAATGAACACTGAGGCAGAGCTCACAGGCATTATGTGTGATTGTGGACCTCAAAATTTGTATCTGTTTGTCACTAGTGATCCTACATCCTGTTGCACTCAAGTCCTTCAATATACTAAAAGTACAACCAAGGGTTTATGTTATCCAAGTTGACTAACCAAATAAAAAAGATTTACCTATAGAGAGATTGAACTACTGAACAGAAATTACATGTCTTAAATCTACTCCTGCAATTCATGAGAATCATGTCTCTGAAATTTGCATGTGCTAATTAAAAAAAGAAAAGCACACCAGCTGACATGAATTTAGTTAAATTTTTCATAGAAATCCTGATCAGTAAGTCGTTTACATAAACCAAAATGCAAAGTTCTCATAGCTCATGAGAAAAATGGAAAATTAACATTAAGAGCAAACTAATAACAATCTGTACCTCAGCAAGATCCTCTGCAAGGCACTGGAGCTGTCCAGTGAGAGAAGTGACCTGCTTTTGGAGGGTTGGGATGACTTGATTTGCCTGTTTCAGTTCAAAGCCTTGCTTCTCCAGCAGCTCCTGCAGCTGTGAATTCATAACATCCGGAAATAGTATGGCATCCTTCAGTGCTTTTATCTCCTCTCTCTGCTTCAGACATAGATCCTTCAATTTTTCAATCTGTTCAAACGAAGACTAACATGATTGGTCGAGCGAAACAAGAAATTCTACTTACTCATTTTAAAAAAGCACCCAAATCCCTAGCCCAACTCTCATTGTATATCAAACAACAACAAATTAGATGACAGCACAAAGGTGGTCGGATTGTGTAGATTTCACGTTCAGATCATCTATTTAACAAATATTAATTGAGTAATAAATAAATGAAGATTTCTTTTGAGACGAGATAATTACTTTTTGATTCTTCTCCTCGATCAGCAACCGCAGCTCTGAAATCTCTGCCTCGTACTCCTTATTTTGAGTGAGAAGCTCCCTCTCGCTACGAAGCACCATCGCCAGCGTCCGAGCGTTCGTTTTGGTCTCCATCAGCGCCTTCACCGTCGTCCGCTCTGCCGTTCCGCCCTTCTGGAACAGTTTCCTCGACAAGGCCGAGAAATGCGACCCCTTGGCGCCCTTCTTCAGGTCCTCCGCTATCGGATCAGATGGCACGACCAAAGCAGCGCGACTCGCCGATCCCGGCTTCGGATTGGACCGCTTCTCCATGAGCTTCCTCACCATGCTCCCGAAGTTATGCCCGGTCTTGGCATCCCGCGGATCGACGAGGGCCCGGGAGGAGTTGTTCACCGCGGGGGCGGCGGCGACGGGTTCGGAGGCAGCTTGACGGCCGCTGGACTTAGTGACGAGGCGTCGCAGGGAGGAGAGGTTCTTGGTAGGGTTCCTGCGGTCGGAGGAAGGGGAGGGAGGGTCGGAGGAGGAGCGAGAGTCGACGGAGGCGTAGCGATGGGAGGACGGCCTGGTGGAGGCCATGGGATCGGGGAGGTCGGAAGGAGCAAGGAGAAGAGAGGGCAGAGAGTGAGGCGATCGATTCCGATTCGAGAGGAAGGGGGGGGGGATTTGAAGCGGTAATCGAATTCAAATTTTTAGGTGGCAACGGGGCGCTTCACGCGGATCGCTGTCCAGCTTTTAGGGATTTGCTTTACTGGCGATCTTGCGCCCGTCATCGTATGATAGATAACATCTCGACTGTCCATCACATCGGTGCCCGTCCGGCAAATGGACGTGCGAGATCTTAGATTGTGCTGAGGGGACGGTCGAGATGGCAGAACGAGACGGTGCACGAAGGAAGTTGTGAAATGTTAAGAAACAAAGACTTCAAATTTTAAAATAATATCACCAGAACAATTTACAATTATAATAATAAATATAAATAAAAAAATAAAATATAATATTTTTAAAGATAGATATTTGAAATCTCTTTAGTTAAAAATAATTATATTAAATAAGCTAAATTACATATATATCCTTTCGTGTCATCAAACATTAGAGGTCAAATAAACAACGATTAATCGTATATTATCCCTTTTAGTCAATTATGTGTAATATCTCGATCTTTACATTTTTAAAAATGATATTGAGATGTCTATACTTACGAAAATAAAATATTTTATCACTCATGTCATTAATTATACTGATAAAAAATACTGCTTGTGATGTGTAGAAAATAATATTTAAAAAGATAAAAATATAATTAAATAGTCACTATTCTCGTCGTTCTCCTCTCTGACTTTGTTATCTTGTTTTACTTCTCTTCCTTCTCACGTTTTTCCTTAGCCCTCTCGAATATCGAGGCTATCTCCATCTTACATCATTAGCTTCTAACTCTCTCAAATAAGGGAGACCTTTTCAACGACTTTAAGTTCAATGTCAAGATCAACCTTACCATCACCGATCCTTGCCTTGGTCATGCCTATATCGCTCTAGGACATGGAAGAAGGCCATTTACTCCAACCCCCACAACTTCATCGACAACTAGATTGGCCCCAACGTGTGTAACTATTATGGTGTTTTCTGCACCATAGTGCTTGATGACCCCTCGATCAATGTCACTAGTATTAACCTTAACAATGATGATATTATCGAGTACCTCCCCATGGAGCTCAACCTCTTGACCAACACTGATATTCTCCACATCAACTCTAATCACTTCTATGACATCATCTCTTAAAACATCTCCTATCTCAAACTCCTCCATGAGCTCAACGCTAATAACAACTGTTTCATCGGCCAGTTCCTAAATGTTGTCTTTCATCTACCATCGCTTAAGTACCTCAACTTGAGAGAGCACTATCACTAACACTCTTCGACAAAAAGCTTGACACCATATTCTTGAATAAAAACTATTTTCAACTCTCATATGCCTGATAACTTTGGTAACTCTAAAGCCTTTATCATTGTCATTGCTAACAACAAGATGCATGAACCCGGTATATGACTCTTGGAAAGTATCCACTATTTCTATAAATAAATAAGGGTTGTTTATGATGTCAAAAGCTAGGAGCTGATTGTATTGGGCAAACACTGATTTTTGTAAAAGACTTTTTTTAATGAAGAAATAAAGAGCTTTGTTCACTCCTCCATCAAAATCCTATCAATCCCTTGCTATCTTTCTTTTTCCTTCTTTTATCAATTTGGTAAATTGATTTTCTTTACTTGTGTCTTGCTGAGAAAACAAGAAAAAAAAAATGTAGAATTGGAACAAAATAGTGGGGCAATTTCAAAAGGAAATAGACACTGAATTTGTGCCAAATGACAAGAAGGTAAATAATTAAAACGTGATTAAAAATATTTACTGCATTAAAAAAATGATTACTTCTACAATGAATTTTTTTCTTCGTAGACTTGTCTCTTGGAACAAAATTGTGTGGTATTTAATAAGAAATAGGCTTTAATTTTGTGCTAAATGATAAAAGGGAAAATATATTATTAGAAAAAGCAGTTAAAAAAATTAATATGGAGATGCGGGGTATCGATCCCCGTACCTCTCGCATGCTAAGCGAGCGCTCTACCATCTGAGCTACATCCCCGTTGATATTGTAAATGTGATTTTATCTTATATATAAATATTTATAACTGTTAATTCAATTTATAATTTTAGTTGCCGTGGATATTGGATGAGTTATTGATGTCACTGTTGTTGACATTTACAATCTCATAGAAGAAGAAAAAGAAAAATCTCTGATGAGGATGTTGTGACAATAAAACTTTCACAGTGGATTATCATGAATTAATTAGAGATTATGTGATAATTATTAGATATGTACTATATGTTGACCCATGATCGGTGAACTTAATGTTGTGGATTGTCATGTATCGGTGTCTAATTAGTACATTGATGAACGTTGACTCAACTTTTTATAATAATATATTATCTATAAACTAAAGATCGATGATTGTTAATGCAAATAATGTAATGACACGATCCTCATTAAAAAAAGCATGCCCTAAAGAAATATTATGTTGAAATAAATAAATACAAATAATCATTTAATGATGTATATCCATTAATATGCGCCACTAAAACTGTGAAATTGATTGTGTCCACTGTGTCGGAGGGGGGAACGAATCCTGTTCGAGCATTAACAGCGATCACTTGGGTTGGGCCTTCACCCGCACCTGTCGCGATCTGATTGATTCCTCGCATCACGCCACGAGATAACGATCTATCACGCGCACTTTGGGTCAACCCCTTTGGTCTTCGTATCTTAAGTCAAGTTCAGACTTTGGAAACTGGCGTTGCATCGAAGGGTTCTCCAAAACTACCTCGTTCACTTGACCTAACGCCCGAAGTATAAGCTTTATTTACTGAATCACCACCACGATGCTTACCGTGACAAGCGACGTGGTATGTAGAGAATATCTTTTTCAAAATTCATGACTTAAAATTTCATTTGAATATCTTTGATCTGCTAAAATCTCTCTTTGCATATTTAAAGAGAAGATTTTTCTAAATGAATCATGATTTTGATGATTAAAGATTCTATATGCATGAATTGAGATCTTATTTTCCTACAAGATTAAATGAATTTTATCTATATCATGATCTCCTCAGAATTCTTTTCGTTAATTATTTAAGAGGAGATTTGTTAAAATGAATCATGGTTTCTCTTAGATTTCGCGAACTTTAGACTTGATCTTTCTTTTTTTGATGATTGAAATAATGATTGGAATATTGATACAATTATGAATGATGATATGGTATTATGTATGCTATACTTCAACTTATGATAATGATGCATACAATGATGAAATATTCATGATAAAAAATTGTTTTGATATTCATGACTTGATTTTTCATCTTTATTGTTTACCTTTGTCATTATTTGAAAATTATTGTAAAGGGAAAAAGATGTGAAAAATTATATTCTTCCCTTTTTTTTGACAATGACAAAAGGGAGAGATAGCTAGCTAGCTTGCACAAGTCAGAGAAGCAAATATTGCAAACGTACATATCATAAAAAGGGGCAAAACTTATTAGTTTGCTCATCTCATCACTTACTATAATACCCAAAGTGTAATCTTTATTTACTGAATTATCATCACCATGCTAACTTCGATACGCAACGTGATATCTTTATTCACCTAATTGCCACCACAAATCATCTTGCCAGTGGTTAAAGCGCTCCTCCGCCCCACCCATTCTTGATAAACATCTCCCGCTTCATATCGTTTCCACGACAGAGAGATGTTAGGGTTAGCGACCATTCATGGGGTCATCGTCGCTCTTGCGGTGGCAGTGCTTTGGGCGGGGGCGTCGGCCGCCTTCTTCGAGCCCTTCAACGTCAGCTATGACCACCGGGCGATCATCACCGGCGGTAAGCGCCGGATGCTCATATCGGCTGAGATCCATTACCCCCGAGCAACGCCCCACGTATGACCCGTGATTCTTGGTTGGAATTGTTCTCAGTTTAATTTGGGTATTCCCTTTTAGGAGGATCTCGGGTCAGTGACTCGATGAATGTCTTTCATTGTGTCATCTTGATCCGGACCGGACCGGCCCGGCTTGGTTTGGCTCGGTGTCTTCCACCTTTTGCTGGTTTCTAAATATCGAATAGTATACTAATAAATATTTTAAAATTCCAAATACTGTCAAAATTTGCAAAATAAACCAGCATTTTTTTAATATTATGAGAAATATGTTGAAGGAATATTAATTGTTGTTCTTTGATGAGTACATGAATTCATTATTATTGCTATTCTAAGCATAAAAGGAATATTTCTGTCCTTTATTTTAATAAAACTAAATATAAAAGAATACCGAGATTTTGATATATAATATTCTAGTTATTGTTCCTTTTTTCATTTGAGCCCCTGGAAATTGTATATTTAAATACGTACACCTTTATAGGGTCATGTAATGTACTTTCACGACTCCAACGTAAATATTGTTTTGCTGGGGGTGTCTATAAGCAACTTCGTCAACGTTCGGAAAATAGAGGAAAGTTTGGGGGTTTATTATGAGCAAATCCTTAGCTCCGGCTCTTTCCTAGTCGAGGATTTCGGACGACCTGTGAAACCCTAACCATGGCGAATCCGAGATCGGGAATTCTCAACCTCTTCCTCCTCGCGGCGGTCCTCATCGTCGCGTCCTCGGTGGCGTTGGCAAGCTCCGATGCCCCCTTTGTGGTCGCGCATAAGAAGGTGAGCCTCACGCGGCTCAAAAGTGGCGTGGAGCGCGTCTCCGTCTCGATCGACCTCTACAACGAAGGATCCTCGTGAGTTAGACCCAGAGATCTATGGTTTCTCTTATCAGTCTCCTGATCTAATGGGATCGTAGCATCAATTCCTGGATCGATTTCTTGCAAGTATAGACACAACATTAGTGGATAGCTTAAGATATGCTGTAAATTTCTGCTTGAATCCTGTTTTATCTTAGATTCATGTTTGTGGCGTCCCTGTTAGTGTTAACTTTATCCTGCCACTGAAGCGCTTGATCTAATGATTCGGGCTGTGATGGGTGGACGCCCGAGGTGAGCCTTTATGTCGTACGTATGAAGCTGTGATGCCTTCTATTTTGATCTTGACATATTAAGAGCTTAGTTAATATTTGAAGCTATCAGTAG